CTACTTCTCCCTTTAGATCAAATAATATTTGCTTTATCAATCTGGGTGCTCCAGTGTTGGGTACATATATGCTTAGAATTGTTTTATTCTGTTAGCCCAGGTAATAGCATCTTAGAGACCCCGTCATTTTGCTAGCTGCCCCAGGATAGAAAATGGCTTGGCTGCAACACACCCTGTCTTGGCTACAACACACCCTGTCTTGGCTACAACACACCTAGCCTAATCACAAGGAATCATCTTAACTTACTTAACCACAAGCCTTAGTTACCCCCTAGCAATGCCAACCACAAAAATACCACCCAAGCCCTATAACTGCCCTAGTCTGTAAGCAGTAGTGGGCTTCAGTTTTCTGGAGTCCCCTCTGCAGGTTCTCTGCCTTGGAATAAACCTGTGTTGCTGTTGAATCATCTGTTTCCTGTCTCTCTTCTCCTATTCGCTCATTTAAAATTAATCTCTTTATCATTATATAATAAACTTCTTTGTCATTTTTTACAATTTTTGATTGAAAGTCTGCTTAATCTGATATAACTACTCCTGCTCACTACTGGTTTCTGTCTGCATAAAATATCTTTTTCGGCTGGGCTTGGTGGCTCAGCCTATAATCCCAGCACTTTGGGAGGCCAAGGCAAGTGGACTGCCTGCACCCATGGGTTCGAGACCAGCCTGGGCAACTTGTCAAGACCTGGTCTCTACAACAAATAAAAAATTAGCTGGGCATGGTAGTGTGCAACTATAGTTTCAGCTACTTGGATGGCTGAGGCAGAAGGATCACCAGAGCCTAGGACGTCGACGGTGGGGTGGCTGTGAGCATGCCACTGTACTCCAGCCTGGGTCATGGAGTAAGACTCCAACTCCAAAAAATATATCTTTTTCCATCCCTTTACTTCAGTCTACATGTATCTTTACAAGTTAGGTGAGTTTCTTGTAGGCAGTATATAGATGGATGTTTTACAAATCTGTTCAGCCAGTCTATACCTTTTAAGTAAAAAAGTTTAATGCATATCCAAGGTTCTTATTGATATGTGAGAGTTAATTCCTGTCATTTTATTAATTGATTTCTAGTTGTTTTATATACCCTTTATTCCTTTTGGTCTTCTTGTTGTTTATCATTGTGGTTTGGTGGTTTTTTTGTAGTGGTAACATTGAGTTTTTTCTCTTCCTTATTGGTTGGTTTGCTCTACTAGTGAGTTTTACACTTTTGTGTGTTTTACTGATAGTATACATTGTCCTTTCTGTGGGGCCTGTCTAGTGGTGATAAACTCCCTCAGCTTTTGCTTATTTGGGGGAGATTTTATTTTTTCGTCATTTATGAAGGAAAACTTAGCCAGGCAAAGTGCTGGTAATCCTAGTACTTTGGGAGTTAGCTAAATCAGGAGAACTGCTTGATTCTAGGAGTTTAAGATCAACCCAGGCAACATAGTGAGACCTCATCTCTACCAAAAAAAAAAAAAATCAAAAAATTAGCCAGGCATTAAGTTGCATGCCTATAGTCTCAGCTACTTAGCAGGCTGAGGTAGATGAATTGCCAGAGTCTTGGGGGTCAATGTGGTGAGCCACAATTGGGCCACTGAACTCCAGCCTGGGCAACAAAGTAAAGCCTAACTAAAAAACAAAAACAAAAACAAAAAAACTTTGCTGGGTATAGTATCCTTGATTGATAGTTGTTTTTCTTTGAGCACTCAGAATTTATCATTCCATTCACTCCTGGCCTGGTCTGTGAGGTTTCTGCTGAGAAATCTGCTGTTAGTCTGATAGGGTTTCCTTATAAGTGACTAGACACTTTTCTATTGCTGTTTTTAGAATTCTCTATTTGTCTTTGACTTTGAAAGTTCAAATATAATGTGCTATGAAACACATTTGAATTGCATCTATTTAGAAATCTGTGAGCTCCCTGTATCTGGATGTTTGAATCTCTTGTTAGACCTGGAAAGTTTTCAGTTAATATTTTGTCAGTTGGGTTTTCTATCCCTTTCATTTTATCTTTCTCTTCTGGGAAACAGAAAATTCAAATATTTAGTCATTCTGTGGTATCCTATATACAGGTTTTTCTCATTGTTTTTCTGTTTTTACTGATTGGGTTATTTCAGACTTGTCATTAAGTTCTGAAAATTATTTATTCTGCTTGATTTAGTCCTTTGAAATGTATTTTGTATTCCATTCAATAAATTCTTTACTTCTAGAATTTCTGTTTGCACCATTTTATGCTTACTTATCATTTTGGTAAACTTATTCATATTCTTAATTGTTTTTCAAATTCTCTTGTACTCACTGAACTTCTTTAATAGTAACTATAACTATTTTGAATCTTCTTCTAGGATTTCATTTATTTTTTCCATTGGAATCTGCTGCTGGAGAATTAATGTGTTCCTTTGGAGGTGTCATATTTTCTTATCTTTTTCATGTTTTTTGTGTCCTTACATTGCACATTGCTGTAACAGTTCTTCCAATTTATTAAATTTGATCATCTCAATAGATGTAGAAAAGCACCTAATAAAATTCAACATTCCTTTGTGACAAAAACTCTGAACAAATAAAATTCAACATTCCTTTGTGACAAAAACTCTGAACAAACTAGGCATAGAAGGAATATCCCTCAACATATTAAAGGCTACATATGATAAACTCATTGCTAATATCATACTTAATGTGGAAAAGGCAAAAAGAGCTTTTCCTTTAAGAACCAGAATAAGACAAAGATGCCCACTTTCATCACTCCTATTTAACATAGTATTAGAAATCCTAGCCTGAGCAATCAGACAAGATAAGGAAATAAAAGGCATCCAAACTGGAAAAGAAGTCAAATTGTTCCTCTTTGTAGATAACATGATCTTATTTCTAGAAAGATCTAATGACTTCAGCAAAAAACTCTTAGATCTGATAAATTCAGTAATGTCCAAGGATATAAAATCAACATACAAAAATCAGTAGTGTTTCCAGATACCAGTAATGAACGCGCTAAAAAAGAAATCAAAAGCAATCCCATTTACAATAGCTACAAAAAAATAATATACTTAGGGATTTAACCCAGGAGGTAATGAAAGAATCTCTATAAGGAAAACTACAAAACACTGAGGAAAGAAATTGAAGGGGACACAAACAAATGGAAAGATATCCCATGTTCATGAATTGGAAGAGTTAAAATGACTATACTGCCCAAAGCAATTTATAGTTCCAGCACAATCCCTAACAAAATACCAATGTCATTTTTCACAGAAAGAGAAAATACAATCCTAAAAGCATATGTAATGATAAAAGAGCCCAAATAACCAAAGCAATTATGAGCAAAAAGAACAAAGTTGGAGGCATCACACTACCTGACTTCAAAGTATATTACAAGGCTACAATAACCAAAACAACACAATATTCTTATGAAAACCTTTACATAGCCCAACGGAACAGAATAGAGAACATAAAAATAAATCCACATATTTCTAGTCATCTGATTTTGACAAAGGCACCAAGCATAGACATTAGGGAAAGGACACCTTCAATAAGTGATTCTGGAAAATTAGATACCCATATCTAGAAGAATGACACTAGACTTCGATCTCTACCATATACAAAAAACCCTGAAAATATAGAAAAGACTTAAATGAAAGACCTGAAAATATAAAACTACTAGAAGAAAACATAGAAGAAATACTTTAGGAAATTAGTCTAGCCTAAGATTTTATGGCTAAGATCTCAAAAGCATAGACAACAAAAACATATTTGAACACATGGAACTATATTAAACTAAAAAGATTCTGCACAGCAAAGAAAACAATCAACAGAGGGAAGAGACAAACCATACAATGGAGAAAATATTTTCTACTATTTATTTGATAAGAAACTAATATCCAGAATGTTCAAGGAACTCAAAAGTTAAAAAAAAAAAAATCAATAAGCCCTGGGCAAATGATCTGAATAGATATCTCTCAAAATCAGACATACAAATAGTGCCAATGGATACACGAAAAAACGCTCAACATCACTAATCATCAGGAAAATGCAAATCAAAACGATGATGAGATGTCATATTATCCCAGTTAGAATTTCTATTATTAAAAAGACAAAAAAGTGACATGCTGTCAAGGATGTGGATAAAAGGGAACTCTTACACACTGTTGGTGGGAATGTAAATATTAGTATAGCCATTATGGAAAAGAGTATGGAGATTTCTCAAAAAAATAAAAAATAAAAACAGAACTAACATATGATCCAGTAATCCAACTGCTGGGTATTTATCCAAAGAAAAAGAATCAGTTCAAATGATACTTGCACTTGCATGTTTACTGCAGCGCTATTTAAAATAGCAAAGATGTAAGGATCAATCTAAGTGTCCATCAACAGATGAATGTATATAGAAATTGTGGTTTATAAACACAATGGAATACTATTTGGTCATTAAAAAAAAAGAATGAAATCATGTCATTTGTAGCAGTGTGGAGAAAACTGAAAGTTCTTACTTGAAGTGGGTATGTGATACATATTTATGAATATGTTTTAGATACTGTAAACACTGATAAAAATCTAAATGCAAAAGCAGAGCTGACATGTAGCTGGATCCAAAAGTTTACATTGTGGACCAGGCACTGTGGCTCAGTAATCCCAGCTACTCAGAAGGCTGACACTGGAAAATCACTTGAAGCTAGGAGTTCAAGACCAGCCTGCGAAACACAGCAAGACCCCATCTCTAACAAATTAAAAAATAAAAAAAAATTTTTAGTTGACACAAGAAAAGAAAGAGGACACTCACTCCACTAAAAGGGAAAAGGGGAGGAAAATAAGAGAATAGAAATTAGGTGATTTGTAACTGATGAAGTTCCTTTGATAGCTCCTGCTGTGACCTTTACATCCTTCCAGATCTCAGGCATTTTTATCCAACAGGGCTTGGGTTTTTGAAGGAAGTTTCCCAAACCATGTCTAAGGTGTGTAACTTCTTTCTGACTATATGGGCTGTCTCTGACAATGATGGCTTCACTTCCCCTTGCCTGGGTACCACTTCACTTCTCACTTACCTGGGTACCATCTGCTTGTTTCTTTCCTCACAACCATCCAGGGCTCTTTCTCTTGCTCTAGCAAGGTAATCACACCTGGCTTGGAAATGAAACTTCCTGCTTAAAAGGAAAGAAATGACACACAAAATTTCTTAATATAATACTTTTTTAAAACTTTAATTGAGAGCTGGTTAAATTTATAATAAATTATAAGTCAAAACGATATTGAGCAAATGTTTCAGAGAGAATTGAGTAAAAGTCCAGCTATACTAGAAAAATGGTTTAGTTTCATTTAAAATGATATAGGGTCTTGTCCTTCAAAAGGAGGGATAACTTTGTGGTTGAGAGCAAAAACGATTAAGTCAGACTCCCTGATTCAAATCCTGCCTCTGTCACCATTAGCAGTATGACTTTAGGCAAGTCATTTAAACTCTGTCATTCAGTGTTCCCTACTCAAAATGGGGATGATAATAATACCTATTTTATAGGATTGATACTAAGATTAAATAAGTTAATATGTGTAAAATATTTCTAATCTGATATATAGTAGCACAAGGTTAACTATTATTATGTTTATTATTATTATTTATTTTGCTTCCTTAGACATTTACATTCATTCTTAGCATATTCACTCAAGGAAAAATAGAAACTTCATGGCCTGAAACTTTTCCCTATAAAACAAGTAAGAGAATGTATGTTGAAGAAAATGGAATGTATCCACGTTAGTGTTAATGAATTGTTTACTCAATCAATATAATGTAAGTCACAGAGGTTCTTTTGATAGAAAAATTCAAGACACTGTTCTGCTTATGGGTGGACCCCCCCAAAAAAGAAAAACCAAAAATAAACAAATAATCTACAGTAATTTTGAGATCAACACAATATGAAATCCAGTTTCTTAGATATTGATCATTGAATGAATGCACAAGATTTCAGATTCCGTCCCATGGTCATGAAGAGGGAGAGGTAATTACAGAGCGGACCAGGGTAAGGGAGGAGAGTCACTGCGGGGTAGGCAAGATGCAGGGGCTTCATGGAGATACCCGTTTTCAACCCAACAAATCTCAAACCATTCCTCTGAGAACAAGAAGAAGAAATTCAGCTACCTCTTAAAAGATAGCCTGGAAATTCATGGTGAAGTGAGTTGATATTCCAGAAAGCAGATACAAAATTAACTGGGGCAGATGAACTTACCCAATGAGATCAGATTGCTGTAGTTTTCCAACATTACATCCCTGTACAAGCTCCTCTGAGTAGGCTCCAGACATTCCCACTCCTCCTGAGAGAAGTCAATGGCCACATCCCTGAATGTCACTGATCCCTGAAATCACAAACACACGTATTACAATTAAATGGAAGAAAACTGTTTCAAGATAGAAAGAGACTAGGTAAAGGATTAAACTATAAAAAAGGATCAATATGGAAATGCGCAGAGTAACTGCATGTTCTTTTTTTTTTTTGAGTTGGAGTCTCACTCTGTTGCCCAGACTGGAGTGCAGTGGCCGCTCCCGGCCACCGCAGCGTTGACTGCTGGGCTCCAGTGATCCTTCCGCCTCACTCTTCCGAGTAGCCGTAATTACAAGCGCACGCTACCACGCCCGGCTGATTTTTGATTTATTGTAGAGATGAGGTCTTGCCAAGTTGCCCAGGCGGGTCTCGAACTGCACATTCTTGAAGGATCCTGCTGCTGTAGGATATCTTACTTATCTCAGAATGTCTGGGAATAGATAAAAGAATCTGTATTTGGCTACTAAATAATAACAGTACCTGCTACATGCCTACCTCATAAGCACTCAGTAAATGTGCATTTCGACACCATTCTTTATCCTTTAAGGTACAATAAAAAAAAATTCTTAAAATTTCCCCTCAAGTTTTGTATAAAATGTCTATCTTTAAAAACAGGGTTTGAGACCAGGAGCAGTGGCTCATGCTTGTAACCCCAGGGCTTTGGGAGGCTGAGGTGAGAGGACTGCCAGAGCCCAGGGGTTTGAGACCAGCCTAAGTAACTTGGTGAGACCTCATCTCCACAATAAATCAAGAAATAGCTGGGTGTGGTGGTATACACCTGTAGTTCCAGCTACTTGGAAGGCTGAGGTAGAAGGATTGCCCAAGCCCAGCAAGTCAAGGCTGTGGTGGCTGGCCGTGAGCATGCCACTGCACTCCAGCCTGAGCAACAGAGTGAGACTCCAACTCGAAATAAGTAAGTAAGTAAATAAATAAAAAATAGGGTTTGCATACAACTGAGAAATGTTCTCAATCCTCAAGTTCATTATGGTATCAGATGATAAAAGTATTTTATTTTATCATGAAAAATGATTTTTATAAGTTATATAAAAGTCAATATAACTGACATATAAAATGTAATCATTTTTTCTATTTAAACAGAATGATCAAAGTCTCTTAGGTGTTCCTTGACTCTGGGTATCTACAATCACCTAACACTTATAATTTGAATGATCCTCTCCTGTTACTGTCCTCACTGAACAATTCCCAAAAAGCCTCATAAAGCATATTATCTCATCACAAATGAAAACTGAAGCTACTTACTATCAAATTCTACCTTACCTATCTAGCAAGTACAAGTCTGTGAAGAAATTTCAAAGTTATCCCAATTGTGGCCAAAGGAGACAAACCCCTGTAATTTCTCAAAACCACAAGACCTTGTTTGCCTGTAGGGACTGACTACTCCATTGTTCCAACTTTTCTACTGAACAAGGTCTGAGCACACAGCACATGCTGAATAACCTGTTTAAAGAAAATGCCAACATTCATTGGAAAAGAGAAGCACAAATAAGAAGAGCACTGAACTTTTGGGGGGTCACTGACATTCAATGTAATGAGATAACTGGTATGTGGGACCTTGGTTCCTTAGGTAGGAAGTTTCACATTAAATAATCACAAAAAGTTGCCTAACCTGAGAGCAGTCATATTTGAAGGAGGAGAGAAATATCAACTTACGTGGACCATGTTTTTAGAATTAAAAAATTGGTCAATCTTCCTCAGGTTTCTCCCCTAAAGAACAACAACAACAAAAAGGCCTTAAGTCAGACTTTGCCTTAGTGTTCCTAAAGTTATTTAAAACAATATATCTACCCTTCATTTCTATTTCTCAACTATGCCTTCTAGCACACACATTTCCACCTCTCTTCCCCCACTGCTCACCACTCCACTTTCTCACCCTTCCTACACACATTTTCTCTCTCTCGCTCTCTCTCTCTCTCACACACACACACACACACACACACACACAAATTAGTCAAAGGTAGAGGCTAGAGGCATGAATGCAAAACGCTGTCACTTCTGTCTTGAAATTGCTCAAAAAATACTCCAGGAGGAGGGATTCTAGCCAGTCCTCCGTTCTTGGGATGTGTATCTTGGCCTAGGACTGGGCCCTTGTTCCTTCTCCAAGCAGATCCTCCTCCCCCAGTCCCACTTTCAGGGCTGAGAAGAATCACACCATCCAAACCAGAACCTCTTTGTGAACTCAAGATTGGGTAAAGTGGAACAAGGCATGAAAGCTGGAGTGGATGTAGATAGGGTAACACTCCTAAGTCACTGTTCAGCATTCTGAGACCAAAAGGCCAACTGATTAAACACAGTTCAGTTCATCCATGCAATAGTATACAATGTAATCATTAAATGTTCAAAATACACAGTCAACGAAAAATCAAATTACAAATAGGATAGACGATATTGTAAAATGTTTGTATAAAAATATAAAGACTTACAGACAGTAAGAACATTTCAGTAGAAAGAACATTTTAGAAAATTATATGCACGCTAACAGTTCTTATCTCTGTTTTGTGGCCCCAATTATCTTCATCTAACAGAAGAGTACTTCATAACTGTAACAATGGCCAGGCATTAACTTGGAATATATAAGGTTATATTCACATATACATACACATTTTTTGTTTCCTATGAGGAAACTTCCCCAAACTAGATGAAAGACATCTTTTATTTAGACATCTCCTTTGAACTTGGGGGGAAAAAAACTTAGATACTCTAAAGAGCTCCTATTCTTACTTAACAGGTTTGTTTCCTTTATTTCCCAATCTTTTTTTTTTTGAGATGGCATCTTACTCTGTCACCCAGGCTGGAGTGCAGTGGCACAATCACGGCCACCCCAGCGTCGACCTGCAGGGCTCCGGTGATCCTTCCAACTCAGTCTTCCAAGTAGCCGGAACTATAGGCATGCGCTACCACACCTGGCTAATTTTTTATTTATTGTAGAGACAAGGTCTCGCCAAGCTGCTGGGGCTGGTCTTGAACCCAGAGGCTCAGGCAATCCACTCGCCTCAGCCTCCCAAAGTGCTGAATTACAGGCTGAGCCACCAAGCCGGGCCTATTTCCCAGTTCTTTATCAACACTAAAATGTCTATGTTTTTCTGTGTGCATTTCCAGGAAAAAAAAGTCAGTAAATCCCCAAGCAACGTCTTTTACGCTTTATTGATAGTCATGTTGCTATTCTTTCTTTTCTTCTTCACAGAAAGGCTTATTATGTTTCTAACCTATCATTTTAGCCATGATGTTCTTGAAACAGCTACTAAACCATCTTGTTATTAGTCACATTGCATTTAACACATTTAGAGTTTCAAAAGTGAAGTACAAATCTTACAGCATAATTTTTTTTAACTCTACAGAAATTCCACGGGCTCATCATAATTTGATCAAAGCCTGGTGACTATAGACTGAAGGATGCCTCTTTCCTATAAACCCTCAATGGATGCTACTCAAATTTTTCTAATGTGCTTTATCACACTCTGCCATACTCTTATTCTTATTCAGATTTTATCTTGTTTGATGGATACTAAGAAACTTAAAAGTGGTGGCTATGTCTTTTAGTTATTATAGTACCTACCATATTGCAGCTACCTAAGCATCTAATAATTGACCAAAATTCTAATTCTAGGAATTTTCAACAGGAAACAGATATTGAAGAAAACATGATATACACACAAGGATGACCATCAGAGAATACTCTATAATAGTCGAAAACTAGAAACATAAATTGGCAGATGGTTAAATAAACTATGATCTGCAATATGATGGCACACTAGACCATTATTCACTAAGAAGGTCCATATTAACTATGAAGAAAAAAATTCATGATGAGGCAAGCAGGTTTCAAAAAGTATACCTAATTTCAAAGATGGTGTCCTACCAACAGTAAGAAGACAAGTTTTGTTTTCATATTCAGAATGTGAATCTAAACTATCTAAACTTCTCAGTGCCTGTTTCCTCATCAGGAAAACAGAAATAGCGTAACTGCAACATAGCTTGTCAGGATGAATAGCAAGAAAATTCAATTGAAATTCAAAACAGCATATAATAATTTCTTTACATATATAAAAATATATATAAAATGCAGATAAAAAGATTATATTTGTTAAATAAACTTAGTTTTTCCTTTTTTTTATAGTAAAAAGCTATTCTTTTCTTAGAATGCTAACTCCCCCCCTCAAAAAATCAGAGCCTATCCTGGAGAATATAATTCTTCCTAAGTTATCTCCTTAAATTATCTTTAATTAGGAAGAAAGATGCCTTTCATTACAGAAACCTCTGAGGAAGAAACACTAAAGACCACTTTGCTCTTCTTGCCGTAGACCCAGAAATGCATGAAAGCCAGAAATGGATTATATTCATTTTTCAAACTGATTCTATTCTCCAGAAACAAAACTCACAGATGCACACACACCCAAAAATTAGAAAAATATAAACCAAAACACCAATAACGACTACCTTTAGAATATGGGACCATGATTTTAACTTTCTTCTTTTCAAGTTCCTTAGGTTACTCCTGTTTTGTTTTGCTTGCAAATTGTGCTATTCTATCATTAAAAATACCTAAGCTAGGTGTGTCGGTACACACCTGTAGTCCCAGCTACTCAGGAAGCTGAAGCAGGAGGATTAACTGAGCCCAAGAGTTTGAGGCCAGCCTGAGCAACATAGGAAGACCATGTCTTTCCAAAAAATTAAAAAATTAGCCAGGCATGGTGACATGCACCAGTAGTCCCAGCTACTCTGGAGGCTGAGATAGGAGGATCACTAGAGCCCAGGAGTCTGAAGTTACAGTGAGCTATGATCATGCCACTACACTTCAGCTCCAGTGACAGAGTGAGACTCTGTCTAAATTAGTTAGTTCTAACATTCTTTAGTTGCTTCTCATCTATTACATATTTTTATTATCAAGATCCTTCTCTGAATGAACACAATGCTGGTTAAGAGGTATTTGCAAAAGAGTAAGAAAATGCGTAGAACATACATTGCCATGCTTGGTTCCCTTCTTTACTGAAGAACAAAATAAAATATAAATTTGGATATATTACTTAAAGAATGTCTTTTAAAAAACCCTATCTTAGTACAGGAAATTCATATACAAGGTAACATTTTTTGAGTACTTAGTTGAGAACCATTATTCTATCCAGATCAATGGGTCTAAAGCTCTTGGATCATGTACACTTTTGATAATCTCGTTAAATTATATGCTATCTCTCCCCCAAAATCACATTTATACATTTCTTTAACACTTCAGTATTCTATTTCAAGAGGTGTATGGTCCCCAAGACCATAAATGGAGTCAGGTTAAGGATTTTTGTCCTACATTCTTTACAGAAACAGAAAAACTCTCCTAAAATTTGTATGGAGACATAAAAGACCCTGATCAGCCAAAGCAACAGTGAACAAAAAGAACAAAGCTAGAACCATTACACTACCTGACTTCCAAATATACGACAAAGCTATAAAAATCAAAACAGAATAAAAACAGACACAAAAACCAATGGAATATAATAGAGAGCCCGAAATAAACCCACACATATATAGTAAACTGATCTTCAACAAGGGTGCCAAGAACATACAATGGAGAAAGAATAATCTTTTCAATAAATACTGTTGGGAAAACTGGATATTCACATGCAGAAGAATGACAATAGATGCTTATCTCAACCATATACAAAAATTAACTCAAGATGGATTAAAGATTTAAATGTAAGACCCAAAACTATGACAGTTATAGAAGAAAACACAGGGGAAAAGCTTCATGACACTGGACTGGCAATAATTTTTTGCATATGACTCCAAAAACACATGAAACAAAAGCAAAAAGGACACATGAAATTACATCAAACAAAAGCAAAAAGGACACATGAAATTACATCAAACTAAAAAGCTTCTGCACAGGGAAGGAAACAATCAACAAAGTGAGGAGACACCTGACAGAATGAGAGAAAATATCTGGAAAACATACATCTGATAAGGGGCTAATATCTACAAGACATAAAGCATACAAACAACTCAATGGTACTAAAACAAATAATCAGATTTAAAAATGGAGAAAGGAGCCAAATAGATACTTCTCAAAAGAAGACATATAAATAGCCAATAGGCATATTAGAAAATGCTTAACATTACTCATCATAAGGAAAACAGAAATTAGTACCACAGTAAGATATCACCTCACACCTGTTAGTATGGCTATTATCAGAAAGACAAAAGTTAATTGGCCAGGATGTAGAGAAAGAAAACTCATGCATACTGTTGATGGGAATGTAAATATAGTCATCATGGAAAACAGTATGGAAGTTACTCAAAAAATTAAAAATAGAACTACCATAGGATTCAGCATTCTCATTACTGGGTATATATTTGATATACCCATATATATCACCCATATATATCTGGTATATATACTGGGCATATATCTGATTCTGTATCTGTCAATAATCAACCTGTCCATCAGTGAGTGAATGCATAAAGAAAATGTGGTATATACTCCATGGGATACTTTTAGCCATAAAAACAGCAAAATCTTATCAATTGCAACAACATGGATGAACCTTGAGAACATTAAGTGAAATAATAGGCACAGAAAGACAAATACTCACTCACATACAGAATCTAAAAATGTTGCTCTCAGAGAAGTAGACAGTAGAATGTTGTTTACCAGAGGCTTGGGTGGTGGTGGTGGGGGTGTTGAGAAGATGTTGGTCAAAGGATACAAAATTTCCGTAAGAGAAGAGGAATAAGTTCAAGAGCTCTACTATACAACATGATGTCTATAGTTAATAACAATATACTGTAATCTTGAAAAATGCTAAGAAAGGGGATACTAAATGTTCTCACCACAAAAATGAAAACTGTGAGGTAACACATGTTAATTAGCTAGGTTTAGTCTACAACATACATACACTTCAAACATACATATACTTCAAAACATCATGCTGTGTGTGATAAAACACAATTTTATCTGTCAATTTTAAAAAAGATTTCTGTCCTAAATCATTTGCACATTTCATTCGCTTTCTTAATATATGAGCAACAATCACATATTCCTACTACTCCTGTTCTTTAAAATGTCGGGGCAAATGACCTAAAATGACCACACAAAACAACAGTTAAAACACATTCAACACTTACCATGTACTGGCACTGCTCTAAGGGGCTTTACAATATTAATTTATTCTAATATATATTCATTCTAATGTCTATTACAAGCCTGCAACAGCCAGAAAGGGACAGAAGTAAAATTTTAACCCAGATCCTCTGGATCCACATTTCCTATTCTTAACCGTAACACTGTACATCCTCTCACAATCCACACAAGAGTAATTCCAAAACCCAACCCGGACTGCCAAACCTCAGAGAGACCTGACCAGTATGACAAATTTCAACTCAAGAACTCCCTGGAAGAATCCTGGCTCTTGTTAATGCGAATTTCTGTGTGATTACTTTCCTACTCCTGAAAGCTTCACAGACGAATTGAAATCATCTATTTCCATTCTTCCTCTGCTTTGAGAAGGAGGCCTGTAAAGACCAACAGATACTTGATGTGTGATTCCACCCAAATACTAATCTCCTTACGAAATCAGTCTAAAACAGAGCTTTAGCATTAACCTCTGGAGGTTTATTTCCATACCATCTCAGAAGAAAGGGGTGCACAGGATAAGGTGAACGATTTGCCAACTGGTTATGTGACTATTAACCGGAAAGGTGAGGGACAAAATGGAGGGAGGGATGATGCTAGGGTATAAACTTGCATCTCCCCCTTCATTTACTGAACATTTAATGGAACCTCCGCATTTTAAAATCGAAAGCGTTATTTCCTAAATTCTTAAAAAGCAAGGCACAAACTCTTGACTTTTACGTGTGCAGCACTAATACTCTCATCCTCTCCCAGGTCCTTCTTTTGGATAATGGCACGACTGGGAAGGACGCGGCAAGCATGAGACTCCATCGCAGACAAGCTTGAAAGCACCCTCCATGCCCACAACTTCCCTCACTTCAAACAAAATGGAGATGCAGTAAAACAAGGAGGAATCGGCCCGAGTTTGCAGCTGGATCCTGGGGACAGAGCTCTGAGGACGCTGTGGTTCGCAACCTGAAACTGTCCTCCTCGGGGGCCATTCTAGGCGGTACTTTCAATTCTCAGATCCCCACCCCAAGTCCAGGTCCGAGTCTTTTGGTGAAAAGCTTCGTTCTAGGCTCAACATCCGACCCCTGTGGCCGTGAGGGGGCCGTAGGGGAGAAGCCGGGGGAAGCGGCAGGAGTCGAGGGCACCCACACAGCCACAGCCCAGAGCGCTCTGTGTCCACACGCCCTCGCGGCCCTGTGCACGGGGCCCCCATTCCCACACCCACACCCGACTCCCCTCCGTCACTCGTGACCTCACAATCCCCCTCCTCGACCGCCCGCGCGCACACACACACGCCTGGGGCTCCGGCCCGAGCCGGCCCGCGCCCCGGGATTCCTCCCCTGAGCGCCTCCCCCTCGCCCACCCGCACAGCCGAGTCGGCCCGGCTGAAGTACCAGTCCGCAGAGGCCTGCGGCAGCCACCGGTTCCTTCCTCCCCACCGGGTCGCCCAGCCCAGGAGACCGGAAGTGGACTCGTGGATTCTGGCGCGGCGACCACTGGGAAATGCAGTCCCGAGCAGAAGGACCCTGGCGCTCTGCTCTACGTGAATTGATCCCAGCATGCAACGTGGGTCTACGCCGGGAGCCGACTTCCAGCCTCCGGGGCGCGCAGGCGCAGGTCGCCGCTGTTCGCGAGCATCCCGGGTGTGAGAGGAACGTTGCGTCATTTACTTTTCTCTCTATGGAGAAGAATGCAAAAAGCATAACTCTTAAAAACGACAGAAGAATTTTTTTAAAAAAATCACCCAGCTCAAAATGTCAAGGAAAGAAGAATTCAAAGAAGAATTCAAAAAATCATGTCAGGATGTAACTGCGTTGGCCTCTTTGTCTTCAACCCCAAGATAGACTTCGACTTTTCTGTACTTTGAAGGGGACTTGGGATAAATTTGAAAAACATGAACTAGAGAACTGACTGGCATTACTTGGGGGAGGAAATGTGGTTTACAACAGAGATTTCGGAGAGTCAAATGTCCTGGATTCTTTTAGACAGTTGTTCCTGTTAATCTGGACAGAAAAACTTGATTCAGGATGACATGGAAAGGTATAAAAGACACGATATTGTCCATCAGAGAATTACTCGACTTATCATGAAGGATAAATAATTAACACATTCTGTTAAATTACTCTAAACAAATGCAAAAGTAGGTTTCCTTTTCATAGGGAGAGCCTGATTTCACTTGTAATGTAGCACTGTTGAATTTCCAAAATTATTTTTGTGGTTTCGTATGCTACACTAGGAGGAAACATGAAATACAGCAAGATGTCTTTTCATTCCAGAATGTGATGGAAACAAATAGCAAGATAATCGACATAAACCTAACTATATAAATAGTCACATTCAATGTAAATGGTCTAAACACTTTAATTTAAAAGCATTGTCAGATTGGGTTTTTTAAAAAGTCAGACCCAAGTATATGCTACCTCCAGGTAATACTTTAAATATAAAAACACTAATAGGTTAAGAGTAAAAGGATTGAAAAAGATACACTACCCTAACACTAGTCAAAAGAAAGCTGGAGTGGCTGTTTAAAAACAAAGTAGATGTCAGGGCACAGTAGATTTCAGGACAAAGAATATTCCAGGGATAAAGAGGTCATATCATAATGATAAAGGAACAGTTCATCAAGTGGAAATAATAAACCTAAGTTATGCTCCTAATAACACAGCTTCAAAGTATGTGAAGAAAAAACTGTTGGAACTCTAAGGAGACAGATAAATCTATTAGAGTCAGATATTTCAATATATGTCTCTCAATAATTAATAGATCAAACACAGAAAAACAACAGAGTATAGTAGATTTGAACACATATCAACCAACTTAATCTCATTTACATTTGCGGGACACTTCCCAATGACAGTAAAATTCATCTTGTGTGAACCAGAAACAATTTACCAAAATAGAACATATTCTGGGTCATAAAACAAGTCTCAATAAATTTAAAAGATTTCATGTCATACAAAGCATGTTCTTTGAAAAAATTAAATGAAATTAGAAATTAATGACATGATTATATATTGCCCAAAATAGTAAACATTTGAAATAGATGAGTTCTCCAATAACGGAATTATATACTGTTTGAAACATTCCTTTATGGATCACAATGTTATATTCTAAGGGGCAAAAGTAACATTTACATTAAAGAAAAATAATATTTTTGTATTAAGGCAAATTTTTTAAGCAGACCTTGTTTTAAAAAAAATTGTGTTTGTCTGTCCGACCTGTCTGGGAGATACATGAAGTTGACACAAGGAACTGCCTTTGTTTCATCAATTCAGAAATGTCTGTGGGTGGAAAAGCAGTTACTCAGAGAGTCTTCCTTGAAAACATTAAAAGGCAAATAACCCATTGTCACCTGGGGCAAAAACAGTAAAAATGTCAAAGGCCTGAAAGGAAAAGTTGGGAAAGAAGATTGTTATCCAAATTAATGCATTGAAAAGTTCTTACATGTACCAGGGAACTTAGAAAGTCGTTTGTCCTCAAGCAGGATGCATAATCAGAAAATAATTGAATAGAACCTAAGCTTTCACTTTTGGCTGATCTTTAGGCTCACCAAAAACTGAACCTGAAGTGAATGCAGAGTTATAAACAACCTGGCTAAGCATTGAAGGAGTGTCCAAACACAGAGTCAATGTGCAAAGGCAGAATAGTTTTTGTTGTTGTTTTTTCATGTTTTGTTTGTTTTACTCTAGACATCTGCCAAAACACTAGCTGATCTCAAGCTAAAGACTACACATAACAGAATATAGTCTCAATAAAAATAGTTTCAAAAAGTCCCTAAACAGACAACTACAACCCACAGCAAGGAAAAAAATAAACCCTGATAAGGGAAAGAATCTGAATTCTACAGTTACCACATTATAGTATGTGGTAAATATCAGGTTTATTACAGGAAAATATTAAGGATGCAAAGAAATATGAAAGAATGGACTATTCACAGGAGAAATTAATAGAAACAATATCTGAAGAACAGACATTGAACTTATTATACAGATACTTTAAATGAATGATCTTAAATATGTTCAGAGAACTCAAAGAGACCATATTCAAAGAACAAAAGGAAATCAGGGGAATAGCATGTTAACAAATAAACATCATCAAGTAGCCAGATCATAAAAAGAGAACCAAACTGAAATCCTGGAGCTACAAGGCACATTAACTAAAATGAATAATTCCTTAGAAGGGCTCAACAGCAGATTCAAGGAGTCACAGAAAGAATAAATGAATTTAGATAAATGGAAAATATCTAGTCTGAAAAGCAGAAAAAACAAAGAAAAATTAACAGGGTATAAGATTTGAGGTTCACCATCAAGCATGCTAACATATTCATAACAGAATTGCTAGGAGAGGATATAGAGAAAGGGACAGAAAGAATATCCAAAGAAGTAGTAGCCAAAAACTTCCCATATTTGAAAAAAAGACATGAATCTGTACATCCCAAAAGCTCAGCAAACTCCAAGGAAGATAAACAGATTCACATTGAGAAACTTTATAATCAAACTGCTGAAAGACAAAAAGAGAATCCCAAAAGCAACAAGAGAGAAGCAAGATATCATGTACAAGGGATCTTCAATAAAATAAACAGCTGATTTATAAACAGAAACTATGGAAGCCAGAAGACAGGGGGATTACATATTTAAAATACTGAAAGAAAGGAAAAAAAAAAGCGTCAGCTAAAAATTCCATATTCTGTTTAGGAGAATATTTTTTTCTTCTCACCTATCACTTGGTTCATGACTGGTTCCCTGTAACAAAAGACAAATTAATAAGATAAAAGCATACAAATTTTATTGATTGATTGAGTTGGAGTCTTACTCGGTCACCCAGACTGGAGAGCAGTGGCACACTCATGGCCACCCCAGTGACGACTTGCTGGACTCTGGCGATCTTTCCACCTTAGCTTTCTAAGTAGCCGGAACTACAGGCACTTACTACCATGCCTGACCAATTTTTTTTATTTATTGTAGAGATGAGTTCTCACCTAGTTGCCCAGGCTGGTCTTGAGCCCACAGGCTCAGGCAGTCCTCTCATTTCGGCTTCCCAAAGTGCTGGGATTGCAGGCTTGAGCCACCTTGCCCAGTCCAAATTTATTTAATATAAGTTTTACATAATATGAGAGCCTTTAGAAATGAAGACCCAAATAAATGGTATATTTGTGTATTCTATGCTTAGGTTTAATGAAGGGTAGACAGTGATGGATAAATATGATTGAAGAACAAAATGGTATGATCTAATGGTAATAAACTTGAGAGACTTAGCCCTGTTTGTTCAGATTCTTCTTGGCATCTCTGTGTCTTTAGGTCCTTTCCTTCAGATATAAGGAAGGCACTTCTCAAATGAGGATCTTTTGAATGCTTCAGGGTGGAGAGCAGGGGAAGGGCAGAGAGTGACCTTCCTAGGTTTTATAACATGTTTCAGTGGAGAAGTGGAAAGATGAGAGTGACCTATCTGCTTCTGCTGTTTTATCAAATGCTAACGTGACATATTTTGGAGTAGCATGCCCTAAAGCTCATCACCAAAAAATGAAGAAGAAATTAATACACTGCCATATAAACAAAAGCTAAGGAAGTCCATCAGACCCTCTCTATGAAAAATGTGAGAAAGAATCCCTCTGGCAGAAATGAAAGGATACTAAATAGTAAATGAAAACCATGCAAAGAAATAAAGAACACTAATAAATATAGCTACACTGGCAAGTACAAAAGCCAGTATTGTTGTATTTGGGGTTTCTAACTCCTCTTTTTTCTATATAGTTTAAAAGAAAGTGCCTAAAACAACAATTATAGATCTGTGTGATGGAGTTCACAATACTAGGAGCTACAATTTGTGGCAACAAAAACAAAATGGGGAAGGGACAGGGATGTATAGGAGCAGAGTTTTTGTATACTATTGAAGCTAATGTGGTATTAATACAAAATAAATTGTTGTAAGTTAATTGGTGTAAGATTATTTCAAGTATAATCACTGAGAAAATAACTAAAAGAATATGCAGAAAAGAGAATGAGAAATAAATAAAAACAATACACTAAGAAACAAAAATTGCACATAAAGAAAACATTGAGGAATTGAAGAACAAAAAAGGCACAGATATGTAGAAACAAATATCAAAATGGCAGAAGTAGTTTGTTTCTTATCAGTAATAACTAAGTATTAATGAAATAGAATTACTAGTCAAAAAGCAGAGATTGGTCAAAATGAATTTTAAAAGACACACTAAATCTGTATGTAGTCCACCAGAGACTCACATAAGATTCAAAGAATATTAATAGGCTAAAATTCAAAGGATAGAAAAGATATTCCATGCAAATAGCAACCAGCAGAGCTGAGGT